CCCTTCTTTCCTTCCTTTTCTTCCCCTGTTTTAGATATGGTCTCCCTGTACCACAGCTGGTCTGTAACTCTCTATGTACACCAGTCTGGCCTCTCACAGAGATCAGCCTACCTCTGCCTCCTCCTGAGTGCTGGGATCAACCCTGTTTCAACCAAAAAACAAAAAATAAAAAACAAAAGTGTACCCAGGCCCGTGAGATGGCCCAGCAGGTAAAAGCACATGCCACCAAGTCTGACCAAACCTGAGTTCCATCCTTATAACCCACAAGGAGAAAACAGACTCTCACAAGTTGTTGTCCTCTGACCTTCACAATGAGCTGTGGCACCACTCTGCCAATTAAATAAAATGTAATTTAAGAAAAATCTCCCTCCTCCCAAAGCCAAAGGGTCTCTTTGTCACAGGGTACAAATCTGCAGGGGCCAGAGGGAAGACTCACCAGCGCTTAGAGACCTTGGAGTAGGCAATTTGTGCTGAGACATTGCCAAGGTGGTCATGGTTCCCAGCCAGTACATACCAGGGCACATTGCGGAGGGCACGATCCGAGAACACATCCTCAAAGGTCTCCTGTGACAGACAGAATGTCCCCCCCATCTCTGGGTCAGTGGCCACCCTGCTGCTCCCACAGAACCAGACACTGAGGAGCAGGGAGGCTGTAGGAGCCCTCTGATTCTTCTACCAAGCACATACCTGGAACCTCTTGTCATTGGCGTCATGCACACCAGTGAAATAGAAGTTGTCCCCCAGGGACATGATGAAGTCAGCACCCATCATCTGCACAGTTCTGGCCATTTCCTTAGCGTTGGCCATTTCCCGAGCTGTATGGAACGGTGCATTGGGGACTCCTCCCCAATCACCCACAGCCACAAAGCTCAGGGTGGAGGTGTGGGCAGTATAGTGAGCCAGGAGAGGGAGCAGCAAGACCTGTAGGCCTAGCAGTGTCATCCATGCATCCATCTGTGAGGGGAAAGAGTGTCTGGCGTCCCCAGCTGACGCCTGGAGAGCCTCAAGCCCTTAAGAACCCCACCTTCAAAGTTCTGAGCAAAGAGAAGCCAGCTGAACCAGGTGTGGTGGCACAAGCCTGTAAATCACAAGCACTCTCTAGGGGGAGGCGGGAGGATCACGAAGGTTGTCTCAGCTACACAGGAAATTTGGGAAGTGGAGGCAGAAGGATCAGAAGTCTAGCCTCAACTGCATAGGAAACTGGAAAATGGAGACAGGAGGATTAGGAAGTTCAAGGCTAGCCTCAGTTACACAGGAAGTTGGGAAGTGGAGGCAGGAGACCAGGAGGCTAGCCTCAGCTACATATGACATTTGGGAGTTAGGAGGGAAGATCAGGAGCTCAAGGTCAGCCTCAGCCATATAGTTAAGTCTGAGGCCAGCCTGGGCTACAGAAGACCATATCTCAAAACACACACAGACAGAGAGACACACAGACACACACACACAGACACACACACACAGAGGAGCCAGGGATCTGCAGGGCTCTTTCAATGTCCTAGTTCCTGGCCCTAGCTGAGGAGTCAGGAAGGGTGGCCGTGCCGACCACTTCCATCTCTTCCTCCCCTGTACTCAATACTCACCCTGGAGGAGTCACAAGCTGGTCAATGAAGTTGCAAGAAGGCAGTTAAGCTCCTGGGGCAGAGCTGGCAGCTGCTGAGTCTTTATTCCCTGGGGCGGGAAGTGGATCATTGGGAAAGATGATGCATTTTCTCCAAGCACTGTCCAGAAACCCTCCCCTTGGGTCATGTGAGCACTGGACTTCCCCAGAACTGGACACGGGGGATGGGAGGTTGGGGGTGGGGGTGGGGGTGGGGGTTCCAGGCCAGGCTGGGCCCTGTGAAGTAGTGAAAAGCTAGCGCAGCCTCAAGGACTGCCTGTGAAGACCTAGTTGTGATGTATGCTGGGCATCTGTGGGATGGGGTATTTGTCTGCACACCCACAAGGGCACCCAGCTGCTGTGGCTGCTGTATGTGCCTGAACCACCTGCCTTGCACATCTGTGTTCTCTGAAGACATGCCTGGCTGCCTGTGACTGGGTGTTGCTTTTCCTGTGTGCACCCAAGGCAAACTGAGTGGGCCTCTGTGCTCTGTGCATGAAACTGTCTGCTAGGCCTGCCAGACTCCAGTGGCTTATCTGTGACATGGACTCCAATTCTTCTTTCTTTGCTTTGTAGTTTTGTGTTTATTTCTGTTTTTTTGAGACAGGCTCTCCCTGTAGCCCCAGCTGGCCTGAACTCCTTATATAGATCAGGCTGGCCTTGCTTCAGCCTCGCCAGGTGCTGAGAGTAAAGACCTATGCCACCTAGCCTGGCTGTTTTGTGGCATGTATGCATGTATTTTTTAAATTATTTTTTGACACAGGGTCTCTTGTAGCCCAGGCTGACTTCAAACTCCCTATGTAGCTAAGGATGACTTTGAACTCCTGATCCTCCTGCCTCCACCTCACATACTTGGGTCTCCAGAGTGGGTCACCAGCCTGACTAGTGCATGAATTCTTTTGTGGCAACAATATGACAGTCCTCCATGCATGTCCAGGTTTTGTGCATGAGTCCTGCTGTGTCTCTGAACTGAGCTTTGTGACACACGGTGATGTGTGTGTGTGTGTGTGTGTGTGTGTGTGTGTGT